GAGCCCCACCTACCCAGATGCTCATTAGGGCAGAGAACCAGTTGTTAAATTATTTGAATCCCACTACTGTGCTATTCCAAGAGTAGTCTTCCTAAGGCAGTGTTTCTCAACCTTGGCAACTTGAAAATGTCCGGACTTCAGCTCCCAGCGAATGCTGGCTGGGGAATTCTGGGAGTTGAAGTCCGGACATTTTCAAGTTGCCAAGGTTGAGAAACACTGTCCTAAGGCATATTTCCCGTCCAAAACGCCAAATCTTACCATTTCCAGACTGGCAGCCGAAGATAAGGAATCTTGAGATTTTTGTCTGTAGGAGAGTTCGCCCGACTGAGGAGATTCTGGGGAGAAATATTAAGTCAGAGGTCTCTATTAGCTGGGCTTAAAAACCTCACAATCCTCCTCGGAAGGTCTTAAATCAGCTTTTCCCGCGATTTCTGCGCTTCAATCTCTGAAGGGAATCTCGATTTAAGACTCCGGCGGTTTTAATTCTCTAAGCGCAACAAAAGTATCTGGACTCCAAAATTGGACCAAAAAGGACTGGAATTCTGGATATATTTTCTAACTCTCCCTTCCATCTCCATATACAAGCGGTCTCTCTTAGCGACCGTCCGTAGGTACAACTGCCCTGAAAAAAAATGACTTATGGTCGCTTTTCACGCTTAACAACCGTCGCAGCGTGTCTCCCCCCCCCCGCCGCCGTGGTGCGATTTACATTCAGATGCTTGGCAAGCGGTTTGTGTTTACGACGGTGGCAGTGCCCCCGGGGGCTCACGTGTGGTCCCCTTTTGCGACCTTCTTCCAAGGGGGAAGCCAGATTCACTTAACAACCTTGTTAGTAACTTATCAACTGCGGTGATTCACTTAACAACGGTGGCAAGAAAGGTTGTAAAATGTGGCAAAACTCCCTTAGCAAATGTCTTGCTTAGCAAGCTGAATTTTCCCTCCCTTCCTTCTTTCCTTTCTTTCTTTCTCCCCTTCCTTCTCTTTCATTCATCTTCCTTCCTTCCTCTCTCTCAGAATCCTTCCATCCATTCTTTTCTTCCTCTCTGTTCTTTCCTTCTCTTTCTTTCTCTCCTTCTTCCTTCCTTTCTCTCTCTCACAGAAGCCTTCCATCCATCCTTCTCTTCCTCTCCTTCCTTCCTCCTTCCTTTCATCCCTCCCTTTCTTCTCTCCTTCTTTCTTTCCTTCTCTTTCTTTCTTTCTCTCCTTCTCTTTCATTCATTATCCTCCTTTCCTTCCTCTCTCTCGGAATCCTTCCATCCATCCTTTTCTTCCTCTCTCCTTCCTTCTTTCCTTCTCGTTCTCTTTCTTTCTCTCCTTCCTTCTTCCTTCCTTTCTCTCTCTCACAGAAGCCTTCCGTCCATCCTTCTCTTCCTATCCTTCCTTCCCTCCTTCTTCCACCCTCCCTCCGTCTCTCAGAATCCATCCACCCATCCTTCTCTCTCCCCCCGCAAAGCCTTGACCTTTGGATGTTAGAACCCACCTTTGAGACAGTTGCCGTTCTCCTTCTTCTTCTGCGATCTCCCCAGACTCCTGCTTCTCGACCAGGAGAAGAACGTTCCCTTTTTCTTCTTCTCGCCGTCTTCTTCTCCAGATTCTTCATTTAAGGAGCGGCCGGACTTGGCTTTTCCACCTAACTACCAACAAGTGCAAGGTTAAAAATCACTTTCCGCGATGGTTTCTTCCTTTCGCCAGTGGCACGACAAAACTGCGCTCGTCAAAATCGCGGTGATAAAATCGCGGCGCTAAAGCCGCGACGCTAAAGCCGCGACGC